TTTTTATACGTAACAATACAGGAGATTTTTTTTGTGTGTAAATACTTAAAAAAGCAGAAGATTTGACTTGATACCACTTTTCTGCACAGATGCAAAATATCTCTCCAGCCAATATGCTGTAGTATTGATGGGGAGAGGTGCTCATACCAGAAATTTACAATGCAGAGCTGTGATCCAATAAATAAATGGATCACAGTTTTGCCCTAATCCATATAAAATGTTTAAATATTGGCAAATGGCAAGGCCCTCAGGGTGATTTACAAATAGCTAACACTAACACTTAGAAATGTCCTGAACATCATCAGCCTACTCATCACAATCATAAGCTGGTTTCCTGGTACCATGATGGATGATGTGACCCTTCATACATTTTCTGCATGCTCACATGAGTAGGGTAATGAAAGTACCTGGCAAAGCTCTTCAAGGCCACATTGCAGACCAAGAACTGTCATCCCTTCATGTAATTCAATATAAATACATGAAAGATAAATCCCACCTCATACCTATGTCTCCCTGATATCTCTCATGGACCAGGGCTTCCTGTCAAATCTCAGTTGCCTACTTTGTAGCATAGTCCTACTGTCAAAGCCAGCAGGATTCCAGGTCCAGAAAATTAAGTTTCTGTAGTTAAAACTCAGCAAACCTTTATTACAAAACTGTAGATCCGGTGTGGTGATTATTATTGTCAGAACTGACCAATAAATATTAAAAATTCCTAATTAAATTATACACAATTTCAAATCTCAGGTGGGCTTATTTAATACACCACCTCTTTTCCTTTGTTGTTGGAGCCAAAAGCTTTCGCATAAACAATCTTAGGCAAGTTTGCCTCCTTTCCTGTATTATCTCAGCACCTGTTTCTGAGCTCATCCTTCTAATTACTGCCACATATCCCATTGCTATATAACCCAACAATTATGGCAAGACACAGGTATATGCAATTTCTGGCACCTACACACTAATCACTGGCTCTCAGTTCTGGCTGAAGCAGCCTGATGGCAATGTGCACATCTACTTCTCATATCCTGATAGTTCTGGGGGATGCTGCAAATCCTTTTCAACATCCAATAATTCCCTGAAAAATTTCAGGATTTACTCTCTTGCACCTCCTCTTTGGTCCCTTTTTGTTGTTGCAGCTATGTGCCTTCAGGTCATTTCCAACTTATGACGACCCTAAGGTGACTCTATCATGGGGGTTTCTTGGCAAGATTTGTTCAGAGGAGGTTTGTCATTGTTTTCCCCTAAGGCTGAGAACATGTGACATGCTCAAGGTCACCTAGTGGGTTTCATGGCTGAGCTGGGAACTGAATCCTGGTCTCCAGAGTCACAGTCCAACACTCAAACCACCATGCCATACTGGCTCTCCCAAGTGGAAGGGACACTCATTTTTATAAATCAGGAGAGGGTCAAACTATTTTCACACATGCTTTTACATTTCTGCTGAACAGTTGTGATTGAGTTGGCGACACATCTAGCACATGTAATTACTGCTTGCTTATAAATCAAAGAGGAGAGGATAAAAGCTTAGCAATTTGGCTTGCCATTAAGAACGGAATTCAGGAATGTTTAATAAGGATGCCCTTGAGGCTGAATTGTTATATCATTGTAAAGTTAATAAAATGGTATTCAAAATTAAAATGACAAATTGGCTCATGCAAAAGTCAACATTCCTGCATTGCAACCCGGAGTGCTATTCCCTGTGTTGAAAGACAAACAGAATTACAGTTCAGAATTAGAAATAATTTTAATTAGACATTGGAAACCATACTGTATATTTAGAACAGTTCTTTTTTAGGTTTTGCAAATTTAGCCACCATTTGCAAGTTTCCGTTCTAATGAGAAAATATGTGAATGGGCATCCTCTGATTTCTTTCAATTTCTGAGGGGAAAGTACCTTCCAACCGTGGTGAGAATGGCTGGTGTTGTTGTGACAGGAGAGCTAAACCCTACTTTTCACTCTGTGCTTTCAGAAAGAAAGAAAAAATAGCAGAAAACATCAGGACTGTTCCACGCCATCTCCACTTCCTCAGCAGATGCAGCTATCTTTGTGAAGCAGCTGTCCTTCATTTCCTCTGGCAGTTCTTTGCTTTCCCTGATTGTGGGAGGTCAGTTGCTGCCAAAATAAATGAGGTATTGCTGCATTAAAAAGATAGCCACAATGACTGGGGGGAATGGGTTGGTATTGGGACTTTAGCATTTTCTACTCCCACTTCGTATTTTTTTTTCTTTCTGATCCCCAGAATCATGGGCAAGGCAACCATACACATGTCCCAGAAGACACTGTTATTCATGTGGCAATGACTATTTTGTAGACTGTTCGGATGAGAGACAGAGATACACTCTCTAAATCAAGGGTGGAGATTATGCACACTGTCGGATGTTGGACTGCAGCTTCCTTCAGGCCTTGCCAGCATCGCCGCTAGGGAGAGATGCAGAGAATTGTGATTCAACAATATTTTATATGCTGTACAATCCCACTTCTCCTAAGTTCTTACATCCACACATTTTTCTCATTAAAGGAGTAATGTGTGCTCTTGTACGCAACACTTTCTGTTGCCTGTGGTGGTGGATTAAGTGTAAAGTGTATCCCAGAATGATATTTCCCATAATCTCTCCCCCACCATTAGATCACTCCTTTATAATCAGAGTGCCCTGTTTAATTTGTATTGCATTTGTAATTTTGTTTTAAGTTAAATTTTAATGTTGTTATGAATTTAATATATTGGGGAGGGGATGAATGTTTTTTGTTTTTGTTTTATTGTATGGGATTGTGCTTTTAGATTGTAAGCCGCCTTCATAGTCTCACTAAAGGCGGGATATAAATAAAATTTTATTATTACAATAGGTGAGAGGCAGGCCACATATATCCTAAAATATTAAATTCTAATTAATTCGGGTGTATTCAAGAACAAATTAATTGTTTATGACAGATCAGTGTCTTTTTAAAGACTAAATGAATACTAACCCATCATGAACAATTCATACTTTAAGTACACTTGAATTAATTACAGCACAATACTAAGTTATGCTACAAACTGTAAAAGTCTAGGCTCTAGAATTCAGTTAGTTTTTTAAAGTACAGAGATTTGAAAAGTTACTTTTTTGACTACAACTTCCAGCCATAGTTTGCTTTTTTGGAAATACAGTCCAAAAAAGTATTTCCAAGTTCTTTGTTTCAACTCCTCAGGATATCACATTATATAACTATGAAGTTGTGACAACTAAAAATATTTTCTTGGCCCCAAGGAGAACACAATTCTTGTATTTTCCTTTTCAAGGTACAGTATAGTCTTTGGATTGTTTATTTTTTGGCAAACTATACTCTGGGCCTCTGCAGAACAGCCCAAAGGGCCGGCCTGGAGGCAGAGATGGGGTGGGGCAGCCGCACACTGGTCGCCCCAACCCCACGCCAATGCCGTCTTAATGCCATGTGCCATGCAGCATTTTGATGCACTACAATGGAAAGGGTGCTAAAGAGCCATGCGCCGGCTCTTAGGGCAGCCTTTTGCTGCCACTGAAAGGAGCAGCATTTTGCCACTCTTTCAAGGGTGGCAAAAGGGAGGATTGGGGTCAGCGGCGTGCGGTTGCTGCGGCTCCAATCCACAGCTAGCAGGGGCAACCCAGAGCTGCCCATCTGCACAGCCTCTATGTTAGATTGTTAATTATTGACAACACCAAGTTGCAGAATTTTTAAATTATTCCACACACACCCCGAATATTAAGGTAGTGTCTCTGTGTTAAATCTCCAACAAAGTATGGTGGTATGATACATCATACTCAATTTATGGGAAATGAGTTACCATTGGAAAACTGATCTGTAATCACCAGTTTAGAATTGCGCTTTGGGGACACAGAGCTCTTGACCCATTTTCATTGTCAAAAATATTCAAATAAGAAGGCTAATTTCTAAGCATTAAAAAAGAAATGACTCTCTTCAAAATCATATGACAATTTTTGATTTTTTTTTTCTTGTGTGGAAATGTGAACACTAGATATGCAACAGTCTGCCCTAGGAAAGTGGCCAAGTATGCTGATAGCAACATACACCAAACTAAAATACGTCCCCAAACAAGTAAAGCTGCAAAGATCTATGCAAATCTACAGTTCCAAAGCAAAAGGTCCAAACCAGAGAGCACAGCCAGAGAGAGAGTAGTCAATGATCCGATTCCAGGGTTCCAGAGAGCAAGGAGACGTGTAGGCAAAATCCGAAGGTCGACGAGTCCAGGGAGACAAAGCAATCAGCAATCCAAGGAGCAAGTTCAAGGCAGCAAACAAGGGAGGTCAGGATCAGCGTGCTTTCATCAAGAAGCTGAGATAATCTCTTATGCCAAGCTGGGCATCATGCACCTGTTTAAATGCCCAAGCTGCAGGAGCCCAGCTGATCTTGATTGCTTTGGCATTTCTCATTAAGTCTCCTTGAATTCCAAAGGCCTTCCCTTTCTGCTCAATGCTGGCTGAAGGTAGGTACTATGTCCTCCATGCCTAAAGGCTCTGCTGCCAGAAGGCTTGGCTGCTGAGCCTCCTGGGAGGCCACAGACTCTGCTGTAGCTGGCACAGGCACACTAGGGCCAGGCTCAGGGTCAGGCTCTGCTGCGGCTCCAGACACAGGTCCCTTTTGAGGCAGTGGCTCAGCCTCCTCCGAGTATTTCAAGTCCTCCGAGTCCTCCAGCTAGCTGGGCATCACATCGTCTTTTCAAAATATGAAAAAGGTGCATTAATCAATTTCATATCAATTTTACATCCTTTGTTTAGCTCTTTTGTAGATAACATCCAAACCTACCTCAGACTTTTCCTGTTTATTTGGATTATGTCCATTTGCACTTGCATGTAGAGGACCTGTGTTGGAAAGGCATATAAATAACTCAGTTATGTTCAGTTAAGTAAGATCAGTTGCTCCATTGCTTGCACTTCTTGTGTGTGACTCCAAATTAATTCTGATTTATGGTAACCCTTAGGTGAACCTATCATGGTGTTTACTGGGGCCATGCAGGGTTTCCATGGTCAAGCAGGGAATCGAACCCTGATCTCCAGAGTCATGGTCCAACGCTCAAACCACTACATCATGCTGGATCTCACTAATTAGACTTATTTCTGAGGTACTGCAGGCTAGTGGACCAACACAATCTTGTTGCTGCTCAGGCCCTGCTCAAGGAAGTCTATTAACAACTTTTTGAAATTATACATCCCAGAGTGAGCAGTGCTAAACTACAGAAATATGTTACATACAGGAGAAAGAGGGAAAGAAGGTTGCTCCATGCCTTGGGTGAGAGTTTTATGGGGGCAAGTTAAATATTATCACAAGGACTGGTGATTTGAAGTGGGAGCAGGACCTGGTAGATGTGTTGCAGGACTACAGTAAAGGAACTCCATCTGATTTCCAGAGATTTTGTGGCAGGTGAAACAGGAATATGCTGTATGCGGCAGGGGTAGAGTTCAGTGGTACAGTGTACACTTTACACAAAAAGGGTCCCAGATTCTATTCCTGACATTACTAGGTAAAGCTGAGAAGAGTCCTGACTGAATCGATACCGCTACCAGTCAGTGTTGAAAATACTGAGCTAAAGGCATCATTGTCTGATTTGGCATAAAGCATCCTGCATCTTTATCAATTCTGTTATAATTTCAAGCCTTGTAAATGTAGGATAACCCATCCTTCCTTGCACTATATTATGGTTTGCATGAATAACAAAGAACATTTATGTCCATCTGTCCCAGAGAAGGCTGCACACACACACCACACACACACACATTCTTGGTCGTTGCACCATAAATCTGGCTCTTGAAATTTTAACTAGTCTTTCCTATAATTAATTTCTAAACAAGTATGATAATAAAAGAGCTTCTGGAAGTGGCAAAGTATGCAGGAAGTATGAATGTGAGGTGTTTTTTTAATTTAAAAAATGTTACTCTGTTTCTCCATTACTTAAACACATGAATAAAAAGATCTTAGACAGCAAAGATAATCAGGGTTATTATTATTTTTTAATAAGAAGAAAATTAGACAATATTAATCAAATACAAAAATGACAGTTCAGAACTAAACTTAGTTAAAAACCACCAGCAGTTGCCAGCAAATTTGGTGAACAGGGTGCCTCAGCTTAGTCTTTGATGTTAGATTTTAAGAAATAAGATGGCTGATCTAAAAATATAGTATGAAGCAATCATGGACACTAGAACGGAGGGACAGTAATACAGAGGGCTGGAGGCCCCCCAAGACTAGTCTAGAGTGCTGACCCACACACACACACACACACAATTACCAGGCAAAATTGGGCCATCAAGAGTACCCCACATAAGTTATCAATGAGAAGCATATTAAATGATCAAGGGTGTATACATGTGCACGCACACACAACTCATAAGACAGCTATGGCAATTTAGCCCTCCCAGGCACAACAAAGCATGTAGTTGAGCCCTAATTATCTTAGGAGATGTTTTCACTTTATAATTTTGTTTGTTTTTAGACTGTATGCCATTCTTCAGTTTTTACTTTAACTTTTTGATCCTTGTTATGTAAAGCGCTGTGCAAATTTTACAGCGCTGTATAAATAAATAAATAAATAAATAAATAAATAAATAAATAAATAAAAGAGTCTTGCTGGGCATGTTATACAGTTGTACATTTCACCAGTTTGCTTAATAGATTAAATGTATTTGTTTTTATTTACTTGGTTTTGTAGTAATTCATTTATTATTTTGTCGTTACCGGTACTTTGATAGCAGTCAAACTTTACTTCCTTCCACTGGTAAATGTTGTTATTATTTTTATGCAATGTAGTCTGTGTTTTGATTGTTTTAAAAGAAATATCTTCCCTGATGCCTGTTGCAATATATTCAGCTAGCAAGTAAGAGAGCTGGACATGTCTCCACCCATTACCTCACATGTTCTGGGAGGACTTTTGGTTGTTGCATGCACAATGATTATAAAAGTGAATTGTGATGGTATAAGACAGATATATGATATCATCATTACTGAACAGGATGCCAGCCCAGAGTTACAACACCTAGTAGCCAAAAGTACCGTAAGCTATAGAGAAACAAAACCATGCTTGAGAAACTCTGATGATCTGCAGAATAAACACCTCTGGAAGAGGGATATAAAAGGGAAAATGTAAGTTATGGAATGGAGCATCCTGAAAGAAGGTACCACTGGCTGGCAGAATGTCTGATCAGGCATACTATGTGCACTGCAGGACATTACTGTAGGTCCCCTGAAACTGCTCTTTAAATAATACATTAGTATAATGAGCCATAGGCATAGTGACATTTTCCCACCTCTTACTTAAAAATAATGAAAACAATGTGATAAAATCCTACTATCCTGTGACACAGTAAGGCTTAGTGACATTTTCCCACTCTTACTTAAAAATAATGAAAACAATGTGATAAAATCCCTATCCTGTGACACAGTAAGGTGTAAACATACTGCAGAATTAAAGCAGTTTGACACCACTTTAACTGTCATGATGACATCCTGTGGAATCCTGGTATCTGTAGTTTGGCAAGATATTCAGCCTGGTTTGTCAGAGTGCTTTGGTGCCTCACCAAAGTACAAATCCCAGGATTCTGTAGGACAGAGTCATAGCAGTTAAAATGGTGTCAAAATGCTTTAATTCTGCAATATGGCTACACCCCTCATCAACATTGTGATTTGCCAAATTCAAAGGCAGGAATCTTCAATTCACTTCTAGAGATTCACCAAAGTCGAAACCAGTGCATCACCATACTTTGTATTCTGCTCGTCTTTCAAAATTCTCCCGCCTCTGTCTCCATATTAATTTTACACATGTTTTTGTTTTAAACACTCATTTTATAGAGAAATAGGTGTAGGTTGTCTGTGTAGGTTGCATATGATCTACTCTCTTTTGGATGAAGAAGACTGAAAAAATGAAAGAAACGCAAGTCCTGTTCTATATCTCTAGGTATTACGTATATCTGACTACAACATAGAATTGGACACACATTTAACTGCACAGTTGTTATAGCAACCAAAGTCCTGTACCAATGCAATCAAATTCCAAAATGATGTGATGTGATTAAAAATTGACACTGAAGTCCTGTAGAATAAGTGTATTATGTCGTTATGGAAACTGGAGCAGTTAAAACTCCACATGTATATATTTAAAGCTGAAAAAACATACCAGAGCATGGAGGGATGGAGAAAGAGTGGACAGGATTTCTGTTGTCTTGCATGGTGTGGAACAATAACAAATAATAGCTTAAGATTACCAAACTGTATTTCCTGCATAGTATGTTATCATCCCAATCATTCTCTTTATTTCTTAAAGCAGACAATTTCACTGAGTGTTTTTAAAGCATCTGTATTTTGTTTTTCTGAGTGTTTTTAAAGCATCTGTATTTTAACTGGAGCAGTGAACTAACAGAGGAGGAGTTCAACTCATACCCATCATGCTATTTTCCCAGGCTAAATTAATCCTCCATTTCTGCTTGCCATTCTGTTAGGAAAATACAGGGACCAAGGAAAAACCAGCAACTTGAGGGTCATAATTTAAATCAGGAATGGTTTGAATTACTTCTTTTTCCAGCAGTGTTAGTGGGATAGTATTAGGTTGTGCATCACCCAAAAAGTGTATTTTTTGCATCTGTTATTTTATATGCATAGATACAAATGTAGATAACATTAGTATGGTTTAAATACAATTAAAGAGCATAGTTTTTTGTGGGTTTTTTGGGGCTGTGTGGCCATGTTCTAGAAGAGTTTCTTTCTGACATTTCACCAGCATCTGTGGCTGGCATCTTCAGAGAATTCACACATCCCGAAAAACCCACAAAAAACTACAGATGCTGGCCATGAAAGCCTACAACTTTAAATTAAAGAGTATCTCACCATTGTGAGGAAGATTACAGCTGCTAGGACACTGGGTAACCTACTGACTGGTACCAGGTGACAGTGGCTGATGGGCAATGTCCTGGCCTTGTTTTCTACTGTTGTTGGGCAATGCTAAGATCCCTTCTCCCTTCTTATGGTTCTTTACCTTTAAACTTGGCTTAAACTGGACAGCCCAACAAAAAACTGTTCACTGTAAAACACTCTGTTTTAAACCAATCTGTTTCTCTGACCAAATTCAGCATCTCCGCAGTTGCTTTTATGTATGAAAAACATTGGGAAATCCAAACACAACATTTCTGTAAGGCATATTTAAGCACTTTTACCATCTGGCAATTCCATGCTCCCAAGAGCTGTGGTTTTCAAGGTGCTCTCTTCCATGTCAACCAGTCTGCTCCCCCAACTCCCCTGAAAACCTGAACATTATTCCTCTGTCTTGGAGAGATCTGGGTGTTCTAGGGACTCATACTTGGGGGTTCATGGGATGTTTGACAGGTTAGTTGCTCTTTCCTGTTGCCACTGTTTTGGTTCCATGTTGCAGGTTAACACTGGCAGACATCACACAAAGTGCCTCCAGGAAAAATTGTCTGCCATTTTTTACCTTCTCATTAAGAAACACATTATATGCTTTAGATGCTCATTGAGGTTCGCAAAACAGAGCTATAATAATTTTCATTCTTTGAGCTTCGCTGTTAGTTGGGAAAGAACAGTAACACAGGCTTTGGTACAGCCTTTCTGCTCTATAGCTTTATTGACACTTACCTGTTATTTGTTAATGTCTAAGCCTATTTACAATTAATATAAAAACAATCTTTTCCTTGGGGCTGTGATTCCCATTCTGTCCAAAACATCAGGTCTCTTCTCTCTATCTTTCAACATTTTTATCTCCAGTGAAAGTGGCAAAGTCTGAAGAACAACCTTGCTCATAAATTAAGACAGTGGTTGCTGATTAGCAAGCCAATTTAATCAAGAGAGTAGGTGATTTTGACATGCCTTGTGATTTAATGGCTGATGTTCATTAAGTCCTAGATACTACAGTGACAAGTTGAAGCATCTAACCATCCCCTTCCTATTTGTCATTTCCATTTCCTCCTGCATCCACCAAAGCAGATTCTTCGGTTCAACAAACACAAGCTGAAATTCTGTTACTTTACTTTTGCTGTGACCCTCTGTTTAAGGAAGCATGTTCCTTATCACCGCTTTGAAAAAGTTATTTTGGGAG